GGAGCCACCTCCGACTTGGGCGCCTCCTCCGCGCCGTCTCTCCCGCTGCTTCATCTCTTCGTCGTGCTTCTGCACGGCTTGGCTCATGATGGTCTGCTGCTGCTGCATGATCCACAGACGGATCGAGCCAGCCGTGGACAGGAGCGATTGCAGCGAGGGCGGCGGTGAAGGGGGCAGGAGGGGGTCGTCACTGTCGTCGCTGTCGCCCTCCTTGGCGTCGAGGTCCATGCGCTTCTGGGCGGCGGTGCGCAGTTGCGAGGCCCACTCGACGAGCTGAGGTTCGAGGTTGGCATGCTTGACGACGGCGGCGAAGGTACCACGCACCGCCGATGCCACCGCCTTCTCCGCCTGCGCGGGAATGGGCAAACGCGGCCCGGCCGCACTGATCCACTTGACGAGCGGCCCCAGCTCGTCGTCTGATTCATCGACGGCCATGAGTCGCTTGAAGAAGTCGCCCGGCGGCGCAGTCTTGCTGCCGCCCTCGTCCACGTCCATGCCTTCGGTGGCGGACGCATCAACGAGCGCTTCGTCCTCGCTGTCCTCCAGGCCAGCCGAGAACAGGTCGGAGCGCAGGTGCGAGAGGTAGGGCCGCTCCTGGCTGGTCTCCGGCGTCCCTGCCATGAGGCTGCTCGAGAGCATGCCGCAGACGGTGCCCAGCGTCTTCTCCAGCTCCAGAAGCCAGGCGAAGGGATAGCTCACCGGCGCCTCCACCTCATCTTCGGCCTCCGGGAGTGACGCTTCCGCACGGGACACGAGAGGCGATGCCAGCACCGGCGTCTGGCTCTTCTTCCGCCTGGCGCACAGGGAATGTTGGTTATGGACGTAATTGCACGAGAAAGGGGGAGGCAGTACCCCTGGCCTTGCGANNCTTGGTGGAGGGCGTGCGGGAGGCTTCAATCGCAGCGAGCTGAGCAATCGCTGCTGCTTCTTGCCTCCTCTTCTGCTTGTTGGCCTCCTGCGCGAGGTGTAGATTCTTGAAGGCGGCCTTGCTTGCCACGAAGAACTTGTTCATCTCGTCCAGCTCCCACAAGAGCTGCAGGAGAGCCGGCAGGACGTCCACGAAATCCGGTCGATCGGCGAAATGGTACAGCGAAGTGACCAGCGGCGGCAGGACCACACCAAACAGAGAATCGCGCAGGGCTCCCAAGCGGACGACGAAGTAGTGAGCGCGAATCTGGAGGCAAGAAAAGAAAGAGGGGGAGGAGAGAGACCGGTCAAAAATGAAGTCTGGCCAGCTAAACAAAAAGCGCACGCACCTGATCGTCGGGTTTGATGGTGGCTTCGCCCTCACGCAATGCGGAACGGGGCAGCACCAGCCCCACCATCTCAATGCTCTTCTGGATCATAAGGCTCGTCCAGCGCAGCAGCCGCTTGACCTCTGTACCAGACGGGAT